TGTAATTTATTCTATTTGTCTTCGCTTAGATGTTTCTATGAATCGAATCTTCAACTACTTTGAACCATCCTAGAATCGTTCTCCGTCAGAACCAATACACAACATATAATAATTGAGATATGTCCAAGTGCAACGATTGTTTTGGTGCAAAAATTAAAAAAATTGGCTCTATACTTCATTCTGCTCAACCCTTTATTTGTATTGAATGGGCCATTTTTCGTGACACCTATTCTTTATATTTTTTTGGTTCAATCAAATATAGTTCTACTTTGTCTTGATTTTGCAAATATTTTTCTCAAATTTGTTCTATTATACAGGGTGGTCCAGATTTTAATAGACAAACTTCGGGAAAGTATTAAACAACAAAAATTAACATCACTATGCTCTATGAACATAGGCGCAGAAAGCCACCGTTTATGAGATACAGGGCGTTGAAATTGACAAACATAAAACGATTTTATTAAATATCCGCAAAACCGCTTCATCATATATCCAAATTTGGTACATATTTTTTTTCAAATATTTCTCCTAGTTCTGTATGCACACAGTACAAATTCAAAAACCAGGCGTGGAGAAATAAAGATATAATTTCCTTATTTAAAGTAAAACTTCTACGCCACTTATACTATGTTTCTTCTCTATTATCGCGTATTCTCCCTAATACAATGCCATATCTAACTTATATGGTATGTTTTTCAGTGGACACTCAGTAGCTATAGTCTTCTATTAAATTATTTTTAGGCACCTGTTCTAATTTGACTTCATCATAGATAACCTACTCAAAATAAATTGTGTCCATTATTCATTGGTAGATCATTCTGGCATCATAAGAATGAAATAAATAAATTTGCCCTGTCGTCCAAAATTAGTTGAGTATATTGCTTTATTTTTGTTAATTTCAACGCCCTTTATCTCATAAATGATGGCTTTCTCGTCTATATTCATAAAGCAAAGTAATTTTTGTTGTTTAGTCCTTTTCCCAAGTTTGTCTATTAAAATCTGGACCACCCAAATTCGTTTTATTTTTCCCCATATCAACTCTTTGTTTACCTACTTGGATAATATGTCTCATAACTCGTAAACCTTCACTTTTCGACAAAAATCCGAAATGTTTCACACCGTTATAAAATATATTCATGTTACAAATTGATTCAGTGGTGTAGAAGTTTTACTTTATATGTATAAGGAAATGATATGCTTGTTTCTTCGCCACCGGTTTTTGAATTTGGTCTGTGTGCATACAGAACTAGGGGAAATATTTGAAAAAAAAAATGTGTACGAAATTTGGATAAATTTGACGAAGCAATTTTCCAAATATTAAAAAAAATATATTTTTCAAAGCCCTGTATTTCATAAACAGTGGCTTTCTGCACCTATGTTGATAGAGCAGTGTTATTGTTGTTTAGTACTTTCCCGAAGTTTGTTTATTAAAATTTGGACCACCCTGTATAGTTTTGATGGGTGCATGCTTATTTATTACAGAAACAAAAAACAATTTTAATCTCCTCTGAATCCATGAAATGCAAAAAGCTGTATTTCTTTTATTGTGCATAAAAATTAGAAATAAGACTCATTATTTAACATTTCAGGCGCCTAGATGCAAAACGTGATATTCGACATTTTGACCGATATTGAAAAATTCACATGGCTGAAATCGTATTTCAAATGTCTATGGTATAGACTATATCCATTAATTATTTATATACATAGGTATACAGTTTGTTATTACTTTGAAAAATGACTTGTAATTACCACCTCATCTAAATTTTTAGCTTATTTTCACTGCAAAACGCGACATTTGCATTATTATTTTATATTTTCTTAGCCACTTGACGTGATAAATTTTGAAAAACACTGTATTCAAGTATGAAAATCAGTACCAAGTATACTACATGCAAAAAGCAAAGGCTTCACAAACACGCATAGTCAAAAACTCAAATATCTTTTATTGCAAATGTCGCTTTTTGTATCTAGGCGCCTGATTTTAAAGTTTACCTGTAATATAATAATTTTCTTTCTGCGAGCTCCCAAAATTATAAATTCTTAACTCATGTATCACTCACTTCAAGAGCATCTTTGATGGATGCTATTCCAAATAATAAATAAAACAGTTACGGGGTGGCTAGCCCTTAAGCAGAATACCCTGTACAAACTTACATTTCTCAAAAATATTTTCCTCTACATTCCACACTCCGTTAGGATCCCGTAGGTTTGGATTACAAGTTACCTCTTGCTGTTCATATGCCCATTTAGGTAACTGCTTACCACTAGTAGTTAATATGCACGATTGCAAATAATGAACAAATTTTAATTTGCTACTGACTGCTGTAACTTGCGTTCCATCTTTTGCACCTGCGACACTGATCCGCCACACATCGTTCGCATCTCCCGTGCCATTTTCACCATAACCTGTGACTTGGTAGTGTTTCTTGGTTATGGGAGCTTGTTCTTTGTGAGAATGAAGGTTGCGCCTCGTGGCTATATGTTCCAGTCTTACCAAGTCACCGCTGCGTACGATCTCTACATCACTATTTGGCTCACTGTTGTACTTTTTTATTACCCATTTATTGTTGTCATCTTTATGGGTGTACGTAGTAATCTATAACATATAAAAGAAAATTATGGAAATGTGTAGTCAAATAATAATATTCACCTGCTGCTGTCTGGCTCCAATTCCTTCTGGGTAAAGATGGTAATGAGAATGCAAGTAGCCTCCCCCTGTCCTATGATTTTTTAATGTTATAATAGAACCGTACGCTACTTGATGGGGCATGCTGGCATTGTGAAGACTATTGCCTAACAAAATACTAAAATTTATAGCCCTGTAGTGCTAAAATTAAGTAAAATATTACCTATTAATTGAGACTGAAATGCTGAACTGTAGAATCCATCTCCATTACCGCTAAAAATAGGTATTCTATTTTAATACAAAAATATACGTGAGATAAAATAATATCTCGGTTGGACTCAATTATTTTGAAAAACGTTTCGGACAAAAATTGTAGGGCACCGAGGGGACCATTGAAAGGTCCATATTACGACTTCCGGTCTAGACCGGAAGTGGTGTTTTTAGACCGAAAGTAGATTTTTTAAATGGAAACACCTATTTTTTTACCACGTATTTCGTGTGAAATATGAAAAAAAATTTTGTTCTTATTATTTTTTCGATTTAACCCATATTTTGGACATAAAAAAACAAAACATTTTTTGAAATAATCGAATCCAACCAAGATATTATTTTGTCTCAAGATAAATGCCCCACCCGGTATGTGTTTGTTTATCAGTCATTTTGAAAGCAATATTTTACAATATTTTAGATATAACTTACCTTCTATTTAATACTTTCAGGTGAATATAAAAAAAAGAAATGTAGAGAATCACGGGCAATATTATTAAACAAAGAGCTCTTGCTAACAAATTTTTGAGGGTATCTTTCTAAAAAATAAAAACAGAAATCAGTTGCAAATAATACAAATGCTAAAATATTTTATTAGGTTTAGAATTGATTAATGTTTAGTTTTGTAATCAATTTGTTAAGTTTTCAGCATAATTTGTGACATTATTTGTATCATATTTAAATTATTTCAAACTGAGTTTTTTGAAATTGCCGCCACTAAAATAAATTCCATGACATCAGTCGGTGGTGTCGGTAAATCAGATTACGTAACTTCCCACATGTTCATTCATTAGTAAATTGACATTGAAAAATATTTTTTTTATATAAAAATGTAGAAAAAGCATGNATATTAAATAATCATTTAAAGATTAACAGTATTTTAAACTGTTATAGGCCTTTTGCAACTGGTGTAGCTACAGAAAATGAACAACCTAAACAAAAAATTGCCGCTAAACTTGTGGAGAAGGCACCAAAGCAGTTACAGCCATACTTGCGACTTATGCGCCTGGATAAACCGATAGGAACGTGGCTATTGTTCTGGCCATGTGGATGGGGAATAGCGTCAGCAGCAGCACCGGGCTGCTTTCCAGATCCATATATGCTAGCATTATTCGGAATAGGTGCATTGGTGATGAGGGGTGCAGGTTGTACGATAAATGATATGTGGGATCGTGATATAGATGCCAAAGTAGAAAGAACGAAAGATAGACCTTTAGTGAATGGTGATGTATCACTTAAACAAGCCTTCTTGTTTCTGGGTGGACAATTAAGTGTCGGTTTAATAATACTGTTGCAGTTAAATTGGTACAGTGTATTCCTTGGCGCTAGCTCCCTAGGTTTAGTAATTAGTTATCCTTTAATGAAGAGGTTTACCTACTGGCCCCAGTTGGTATTGGGTTTTACTTTTAACTGGGGTGCCCTCCTAGGTTACAGTGCTCTTCATGGATATGTTGATTTAGCAACGTGTCTGCCATTATATCTGGCAGGTGTTTGTTGGACCATTATCTACGATACTATTTATGCCCATCAAGATAGAACTGATGACTTGCGCTTAGGAATTAAGTCGACAGCCATCAAGTTCAATCAAGATACTAAACTGTGGCTCAGTGCATTTGCTTCGACGATGATTGGAAACTTATTTTTATCCGGAGTAATGAGTGATCAAACGTGGCCATATTACACATCAGTTGCTTTGGTTGCAACACATCTTGCCTCTCAAATTAGTACTTTAAAAATTGATAGTCCCACTGATTGTTCTAATAAATTTATTTCTAATTCTATGGTAGGACTGATTTTGTTTTGTGGCATTATATTAGGTACTTTACTTAAAAAAGATAGGAATAAAAATAAGGATTTTATGAAAAGTATACCAGTCCAACTGTTAAATTAAATGGAAAAGTTATAATTAATGTGATAATATTGTAATTTTATTGCACCACTAAGTATTTTGAAATGTGTTTAAAAGAAAAATAAACGAATCTGCAAATTCTTCTGATTTTTATTGTACCATTTACTACAAATATTATTGAGAAGTCTAATGGCATAAATTCTAAAAAGGAAGGCCTTATTTGGCTAATTAAAAGGTTTTTCAGTGAAATTAAGTACAATAAATTTCACATTTGAGCAGTAAAAAGTAGATAAATGTATACATGTAAGTATACAGGGTGTTCTTAAATAAGTGTCGCAACGGAAAACTAAATTCCTCTTGAAAAAAGAAACATTATTTTCCTCTTCCATTTTTCTCTCAGGGTTTTCGTTTTCAAGATACACGGTGTCAAAATTTTCATTTTTTTTAAATTTTTTGCCTATATCTTAGGAACCGTTTGAACTACAGGACTGAGTTTTTGTACACGCATTACCACTATTAATAGCTACTTTTTCGCATCCTTCTTGGATTCATTAAACGTGCCAGTGGTAGAGATTTTAAGGTATCGTCAGGGTTTTTCCCCCCTAACTTTTACGCTACTGGAAAAATTGACATGTGACAGCAAATTCTAAAGCGCCAATGAATTTTACACAAAAAGAGTTCTCTCGGTTTATTGCTCTAATGTCAACCGTTTTAAAGAAAAATGACTTTTTATGAACAAAAACAAACATTTTGCTAACGTTTCGAAAATCTTTTGTGATTTAAAATATAGGTAGTAATAATTAACAATTTTAACGAAATTTAACATCTGCAACAAGAAGCTATTAATAGTGGTAATGTATGTACAAAAGCTCAGTCCTGTAGTTCAAATGGTTCCTAAGATATTGACAAAAATCTGAAAAAAGTTTAGACACCATGTATCTCGAAAACGAATGCCTGGAGAGAAAAATGAAAGGAAAAATATGTTTCTCTTTTCAAGAGGAATTTACAGTTTTCCGTTTGACACTTATTTAGGAACACCCTGTATAAGTTGAAAACATTGTTACGTAATAATAAGATTTCTAATAAGAAATAAATGCTACGAAATATAATCATATGTTTACATACCAGGTGTTCAAAAATTAGAGGGCAACTTCTTGAATTTTGGTAGGACTTGCAAAATTAATGTTAATATACAGGGTGTCTCATAATTAGCTGCCAACCCTGAACAGGCCGATTCTATGATCAAAACCAAGTAAAAAAGTTCATATGAACATGGGAATCCTTTAAATGGAAAAGAGAGGAAAGGAAAATTA